CATGCATGCAACTATTAAACATGTTGCTAGCACAAGAAAATATCATTAATTTTGTTACGATTACTGTTGGTGGCCTTGTATAGATGCAAAACGTATATTTCATAGTGGCCTTGTATATAAAAATGAAGGGAGTATCATCTTCCCACTGAACGTGCATTGCCGGAAATTCTAAAATAAATACGAGCACCAGGATTTGAACTTTGGTGGGCCGTAGATATCACTATCCACCTAACCATCCAATTGGTTCACTAAAAGACTAATTTTTAGATATGTAATAATGTATTTTATTGGGTTTTTAAAATGATGTGACAACTAACATGGAACGGAGGGGTGCATAAGAAAATAATTACTCCCTCTGTTTCTAGATATAAGGCTTTTTAGAGATTTCAATGTTGACTACATATAAAGCAAAATGAGTGAATCTATATTATAAAATATATTTATATACATCAGTATGTCGCCCATATTGAGATCTCTAAAAGGTCTTATATTTATAAACGAAGGGAGTATGTGAGTAAATAAGAAAATACAGACTTATCTACCATTGTAAGCCCTTAAATCCTTTAAGCGCTCGTTGCGGCAATTTCCAAATAGAACACGCACCAACAACATTACATTTTGTTTCTTTTCTAATAATAAAAATATTTTCAATCAACAACATTATAATACTTCTGTACAAGAATGTTTGTTGTGCTTTTCGAAATTACAAAAACATCATCAAAATTGAACCCTCTTTTGGATATTTAAACCAACCAATTAAAGGCAGATGTTAAAATTGACACAAAAAAGGGGTTCTCCCGTGTGATTTGGTTGTCCGTGCAATCCAAGCATCAATAGCACGAACCCTAATTCATGGACCAAACTTCACCATCGGTACAAAGCACCAAACAATTTTCTCCCGCGCCAATCATGAATCCGCCTACGACAAACTCATGAAATGGACATGGAATTCTATTAAAAACAAAGGAACATTCCTAAACTTTGATGACATACATGGACTTCTACGATCAGTTACAATTCTTGTTTATCATTCACATTCCATTTCTGCTCAGAGTTGGATGGATCTGGGGGCTGCCATGGCACCCCCACTAAATCTGCAGTCTACTTTATATTATACCCTAGACACTATTTTTTCCGACAATATAATGCTATTTTGAGGAGTATTTGCTAGGATTATGATGATATTTAGATTAAATTACACTATCTGGCACCCCCAATGCTAATATCCTAGATCCGCCACTGGATGGACGGTGGAGGGGGGAGGGGGTGCATGGTGGAGGCAAGGCTTGGGATAGAAGAACAATATAGAGAGAAGAAACCGGGAGGGGGTGAGGTGATCTGAGAGCAATTTTGATGGGAGGGGTATAAACATAAAATACACAGTGTCATTTTCGGGTTTTGACTTTGCATACGGCAAGTTGCCCCGTTCGAATACTCAACATGGTCTAGGGACATTTTATGTGACCCCAGATTCGATAAGAGGGATCAAGCAAAAATCATCACTGTCATGTGGGCGATCTGGACCTCAAGAAACAATATAACTCATGATCGGGCGAGCTTGAATCCTATTATTTCAATGAAGAAGACTAGGGAGGCTTTGGCACTGCTAGAATTACCGGACCAGCATGCAAAGATCCTACCAGGACATGGATGGAGGCCACCTGAGAATGATTGTATCAAGATTAATACAGATGTGGGCCTGTCTGTGGAGGCCAATATATGCGGGCTGGGAGGTGTTGCCAGAACATCTGAATCATTCCTCGGTGCCTGGTGCAAGCCACTCCAGGGTGTTACTGATCCATTGGTGGCGGAGGCGCTAGCTCTCCGGGAGAGAGTGATCTTTGCCCAGCTTCGAGGTTATGTGCGAGTCGAGCTGGAAACCGACAGCTCGGAGGTTGTCCAACTCTGAAACTCGCGCCGTACTTCGCGCTCGTTATTAGCGCCGGTGTTGCTTGATATTGAGGGTTTAGCTTCAAATTTTTCTAGTTTTTCTATTCGTCATGTAAAGAGACACGCCAATGTCCCAACCCATCTATGTGCTAGGCATGCATGTGCACTAGAGGTGTCGGAGGTTTGGAT